TCGTCATGCCAAAACATAAAGATATTAGAAATTGTCTCCTTTGAAACTTAAACGGTAATCCAGAATCTGACGTTACCAAATTCATCCGTGGTATGTAATGTCTCCCTCTGTTTGTCATCTTACATGACAAATTTCAAATGATATGACATATGAATAAATTACATGACATGTTTTAAGTACGTGTAATGACTCATTGTGTTTGAGAATTCATTCCAGGTATCATATATGTATAATTGAGTAAATTTTGGAACAACACCCTCTTATGCCAATAAAGATCCAATATTCTGATCATTTCTCCCCTTAATTATAAACTGCGGAGATGCTCGTCCATTGCTCTGAGACTTTTGTATTTTTCTATCAAATGACGTGAATGAAATCATACAATTGTATTTTCTTATATTTGTCATAAAATGAGAACTTCTTGCATCAAGCCGTTAAACAAATTAAAAAGAAAATCTGGTGGTCTTTGTAAAAGAGGGAGTTATACTTTTTCCAATGAAAAATTATGTTCTAGTAAAGAAAAAAAAGGCCTAAAAAGTCCTACTAAAATATGATGGAAAAAAATTATTTTAAAAGTTATATTTCCTTTTTTTTGAATATTTTCATTTTAAAATAACTTTTTTATATTTTATGAACACTACTTAATTCATAAATAAAGTATTAAAGACTATCGTATTTTTTGTATTCTCTGTTATATATTTAAGCAAATTATACTCCGGAGTAATTATTAAAAAAAGTTATGGAATAAATTATATCATAGAGTTTTTGTTATTAAAATTATTGAATATACTATTAACACCCATAAAGAACTAATATTCTTTGATAAATTTTTCATATTTATTTTATTTAGGTGATATAAGATGAGCTATATTTTAACTCAACAAATTTTCATACAAAAAAATAGATTAATGGTTATTAAAAAATTTATATTTTACTCAAAATATTTTTAATACCATTGTAATTTTATGAAGAATGTCACAGACTAATCATAATTAATTTTTTTAATGAATAATTCATTTAATTTTTTTAAGATAAATATAAGTTTTATTTCAGTTACGTAATTCTCAATAAGTTCAAAAGTCTATAATTTTTTAAATATAAAATACTCCGGGGTATATATTTTTAAACTCATCAACTTCTCAAGGCTATCATAAATAAATTTTTTCACAAATGATGAATGAGCATTTAAAACATGTCATGTAATTTACATGTAATTTATTCATATGTCATGTCCTTTGAAATTTATCATGTAAGATGATACTTGTCAACATCTTACTGACATGACTGTCAAATATTATAGTAAGGAATGAATCAAATGATATAGGTCCTTTATAAGAGGAAGAGTTTTGTGGAACGGAGGGAGTATCATTTAGTGTTTACAAATTACTACGTGAACGAACTAGTCAACATTGAACTCCAGATCCAGCATTGTACTAGACGTTGAGTTGCACATTCGTTCACACGTAATTAATTATGGGCTTAATCACATCCCTCATATATTTTGTATATCTAACTCTAATCATTTCTTCATTATGATCTAGAAGATATAATAATTTCTTATTTCTTCATCATATGCAAAAGAAGTTTATTCCTTGAAACGCGCGATAAAATGCAAGAAATTCACCAAGCTTGGGTATATTTAAACCATACAAAATATATCATTTAATCAATTGTAAAGCCAAACAAAAATACCTCCTCCATGAGGACTACCTAACCACTTTGGTTAATACATTGTACGAAATATGGTTTTTATACAATAAAGTTACATCCTTAATGGTAATATCCTTCACCAATGGATGTATAGGCAACTTTATTTTTTCATTAAGAGAAATACTTTCTCTTAAACAAAAAGAATTTGATTTTTATCATCCTTTAATAAAGGATAAAACCAATTTCTTTCTAACCGTAATCTTCTCATTCACTATCACATGCCAATAAGAAATCATTCTTATACTCAAGTAAAAGAAAATATTAAATTATTAGCATAATCTGAAAAATAACCAACCGTAACCTTTAGTAGAATAAGAAACTTTTAGATTGTTGGAACAATAAAAAATAATTTTATTATTGTGACTGCACCTAGAAAAATAAAACATTCTAAGTTGCCTACGTACCCCAATGAAGGGGGCCAAGCCACACGTAGTTCAAAATAGGGTTGGTTAAATTAACCGGATAAACCTTCAAGGCGCGTGATCTTTGGAAACGATTTCCTAAAAGTTTCTTATCTACCCTATTATAAGCAACAAAGATTACAAGATAGAACTTTTGGGATACAATAAAGAAGACGAAATTATTCGGTTGCTCTACGAAACAATTTGTTAATGTACTTTAACGAGACTTGTCTCGAGAGAAAGGAGATGAAAAGACATAGAAAAGTACAATAATTAATATTTCATCATCATAGAATAAATATAAGAAATAAATACATTATTTCTTCATTATTCTAAATAATCAATGAAATAATAATTAATAATAAATCATTTTTCTATCATAATTTTTCCCTCTCTTTTTGCATTCTGACATGGGCCCTATTTATAGAAAATAATATTCCCCTTTATAAATGATCATGTCTCTTTTGTAAGAGACACACCCATTTAATTAAAAACTTCCAATTTAAATTCAAAATAAATATTCAAGAGTTATGTCATTTAAGAATAAACATGTCTCTTCAAAGAGTTGTGCCTATTTACTTAAAGTTCAATTTTGAATTCAAAATAAATCTCCAATATTAGAGAAATTTGTGTGGAATTTTTTTTCATGATTCCTTTGTTGAACGAGAAGAATTGAAGGGAGAGGAGAAAAAATTAAAGGGAGAACGGATTGAATGGAGAATTTGAGTGACGATGGATTCAGTTAGATTTCAAGTGCTTGTGACTAAGCTTCTCTACTTTTCCTCACCAAAATAAAAAGAAAACTTATCCCCTCCTATTAGTTCATTTTGTTCTCATTTTCCTTCTCCTTTGACTTTTCTTTTCTTTTTTTCCCCTTGGACTTTTCTTTTCTTTTCCCCACTAAACAAACATCAAAATTTGTTTTTCGTATCAATATCTTTTCTTTTCTCAAAACAATTCTATGAGCCAAACATATTCTTAGTGATAAACACTACTACAAAAATGACCAAATAAATCCCTCCATTTGCATCGTTAAGAAAAACAAACGATGTAAATGGCAAAAAAATTGTGTATCGCTTAGCTTTTGGATCGATTATTCCTAATAACCGATTCAAATAACCTTTTGAATTGGTTATTAGGAATAACCGATCCAAAAGAGTCTGATCAAACACATCCGATCCTACCTTATCCTTACGTGATTTTGAAAAAAAACCTCCAAACCCTTTCTTTGCCTAGCCTCGCTGTCGCCGTGCCATGCTTGCTGCCCCGCCTCGCCGTCGTCAACTCCCAGCCTCGCCATCGTCCCTTCTTTAAGGTATTTTTTTTTAATTTTTTTAACTTTAAATATTTAATTATACTATTATTTATTTATATATTTTTGCATTAGGTTAATATTTAATTTACTATATATGTTTTGTGTATATGTTTAAGTTAAAATGTGACATTGTGATATAGATTGCGTTTCAAAAATAGATTGTTTAATTACTTTGTGTTTGATTCTACATGTTCTGAGATGTTATAATATAGAAATAACATATATTGACCGACCTAGATACCCATTTAAAATTTACTCATTAGGAGTAAATTTTAAATAGCTCCCAGTTTGGAGCTGTTCTTGAAATGCCTCTCTCACTTAGGTAGTGAATGTATTTCTTTCTCTTTGTTCCGTCATTTTTTGGTTTGATGTTTCCTAAATGTGTTCTTCGGGTGCATATGTAATTACGTTACATCGTGCACTTGGAGAACCATTGGAAAATGCTGCCGAAATTTTCATAGGTCAAAGAAAATTAAATACATTTACTAGTGAGGGTGGCATTTCAAGAATGGGTTAGGATGGTGTAAAGAAGGACCATTTGTATAATGAATAAGTGCTGCCAATTTTTTGTTACATCATAAGAAATAAAATATTGTGTTGCCTGTATTTCTTATATGTTTGTGTGTACATATAAAATGAGTGTTAATAATTTTGTTGTGCATTGTTTTGCATGTATCAATCATTTTCCCTTCTTTCTTGCTTAGCACTTCATATGATGGATAGAAGTTGGATTCATATGTCGCGTACATCACCTGAGTTTAGTTCTGGTTTGGAAGAGTTTATTCGTTTCGTAGAGAAACATTCAAAAGAAGGAAAAAAGCTATATTGTCTTTGTAACTCATGTCACAACCATTTTATGGTTGATAGCATTAAAGATATAAGATTATGGTTAGAAAATCCTTGCAGCTCTAGCTATACTCATAATGAACAAGGAAAGAGGGCATCAGTTAAGTTTGACGACGGTTTATACGACGAAGCAACTCATATTTCAATAATTTCGCCAAACTCACAAGTAGATGATATAGGAGCAAAATACATCCGTGAAGATCACGAAGAAGGATTATGGATAGATGGGGGAAAGAAAAAGTTAAAATAATGCTTTAGGTATTTTTCTGTTTATATTGATCATTTTCATTTAATTCATTGTTATTTCACTTTTATTATACTTAGGTTATCTAGATTATTTTGAATTTGTGCAGGTATGGCAGACGAACGGAAGAAGAAAAAGGTTTGAGGTGCATGGAAGTGCGAGAAGATGTATAAGAGCAGGAGGGAGGGTCACCCGCCTATAGAGCTTGAGTGGGAGCGTGGGGACCCTGTACGTGGACCGTATGTTTCGAAGTTTACTGGGCTTGTAGGGTTTGAGGCTCGATCGCGAGTACCGATTACGTATAATAATTGGCATGAAGTCCCGAATGACATGAAGGCCATGGTACTAGACGGGGTTCGAGTAGGTACCACTTTATTTGTAACACCCCAATCCGAATAACCCGGAATTACACGTATTAAGGTGAAACGAGGGTTAATTAAAAATTTCGCTTGACATTTGAAAATGACAATTTCTGATAAATGTTAAATTTTACAGACTCTGGATCGCGACCCATTTAAAACATTTTCAGAGTAATGCGAAAGTACAATAATAATCAAATCATGACACATTTAAAATCTTTGATGATCAAACATTTTCCTGCCATCCTTGCATCTCCTCTGACTCAATGCCCTCCGGGAATTGTTCCATTCTTGTCTTCTTGTTACCTACGTGTAGTCAACGAAAAATACAAACTACATGCTCAGCGAAACCGCTGAGTGGTACCACGCTAGAATTATAGAATAATTCACAGACATATACAAACAGATATATACGTCCACAAAAATGTATAATAATATTCATGATATGGCACATTATATCATATGGTCAATTTGATGGTTCAAGATGATAAATATTTAATGATAATTAAATGATGGCACATTTAATCAATTTGAGTGTTCTTGATGATGATTACATCACACCTATGTAATCAATATAATTGTACTTAATGATGATAACATGATTTCACATTTAATTAATTTGATTGTTCTTGATGATGATTACATGACACCTATGTAATCAATATAATTGTACTTGATGATGATAACATGATGCATGAAACTAACGTGCAAGGACGACCCTTGTGCTATGAGATTCGGCCAGGTTGTACGACGAACTCACGCCACATTAGTCTCACGAATGAGGTGAGACTAGAAAAATGGGGGCGGTACTCGAAATCCTGAATACCATGTACGTACACTAAGCCCGAATGTGTGATGTCGGACTGCTAAGTCCCGCACAATCACGCTATAAGAGACGCACGAGGCATGATCTCTTACACATGCATATGATGTGATATGCTTC